CGCTCACGTTATAAATAGCCTCGCGCGTGTGACCCGGAGCCCGCCGGGGAGGGGTGGCGCCTCCGCCCTGCTGACCCCGATACCGCAGTCCCGCGCGGGTGTGGCGAAGGTCGCGGGATGTGACGACGGTGACCGGGGAAGACAGAGCGGGAGAGACTCGGTTCCTTCTCAGAGCCCCCTCCGCCCCTCTTTGAGCCCTTTCCTTCCTCCAAGCCCCTCCCCCTGAGACCACCCTCCCCTCCCTGACCCTCCCCCTTCTGGGTTCCCTCCCCCACCATGCGCTCCCTTCCCCCCTGAGAACCCCCTCCCCACTCTGGACGCCCTCCCCCTTCCCTTTCCCATCGGAGACCCCTCTCCCCCTGAGTCTTCCCCTTCTTCCTCTGAGCCCCCCATGATGAAAAATGGCCGCGCTTTGCCCGTTCTGAAGGGGGCTGAGGGCCTGAGCTGGCCTCAGCTGTCAGAGGGTAGAGCCCTCCAGCAAGCCCCCCACTGCCTGAGGTCCCCCCAACTGAGCTCATCCCCACCCCCAGCCCAGAGGAACTGCAGGTGAAGAGTTGAGCTCAGGGAGGAGGAAGGGGGATAGACGAGGTGGGGGTGGGGAGGACCAGAGAGAGACAGGCAGAAAGAAAATGACAGGGGTGGAGAGAAATGGAACAGAGAGGAGAGAAACAGAGAGAGACACAGCAGGGACAGGGAGAGACCTGAAAGAAGAGGATGGAGAGAGAGAGAAGAGAGAAACAGACCAAGGGACTACAGGGCTCCTCGCTAAGCCTAGATCCATGGTCTGGAAAATAGGGCACACTCAAGGCTAGACCCCAGTCAGCCCCTCAGATCCCCCTGAGCCTGGCACTGACCACGCACCTGAAACTCCCCCCACCTCTGCCTCTCCTCTCCCAGCATCTCCCCTGCCTGCCCTCCCTAGTCTAGGCAATCTCTGTGTCTGTCTCTTTCTGTCTCTCTGTGTCTGTTTCTCTCTGACTCTCATGCCTTGGGCTCTTCATCCCCACCCCTTCCTCCTCTCTCCTCCCTTTCTCTCCCTGTGTTGGTCCCTCTGTGTGTGTGCCTTTCTCAGCCTCTGTCCCTTTCACAATTCTCTCTCCCGCCCTGCCCCTGCCCAACCTTCACACAGACTCCCCAGGTTTGCAAGCTGCGACTGTCCTAGGAGGGAAGCCTGGTGCTCTTGCTGGGCACAGTCCTGAGTGTCCCTGAGTTTCACTCCACGCCAGGGGTGAGGTGCTGGGTGGGTAAGCTCCCTGTGGGTGGGTGGGGCTGAGGGTGTGAGAGGGGGCCAGTGGGATGGGGGCTGAGCATGCATTCAAGAGAGGGGCCTTTACACATACAGTCCCTGCCTCGAGTGGGAAGGTGAGGATGTGGTGGCTGATTTGTACTGTGGGGGAAAGAGAGGAAGACAGAGACAGAAAATACAGGGGGAGACAGAGAGAGAGAGGAAAAGAGAGAAAGGGCCAGATCTAGAAAAACAGAGAGAGACAGACATGGAATGAGACAGATGGAGGCCCCAGAGAGAGCGGTTCACTTGCCCAGGGTCACACAGCACTGGAATGTGAACCTAGCTCTGCCTGACTCCATGCTGAGCCAGTTCTCACCTCCTCCATGCCCAGCTAAGGGCTCTGTGCACACTCTTCCTCCCAAACCCAAACCAAGTGTGGTGGGCGTGATGCCACTTCATTTGCAGTTGATATCTGAGGCCGGGCTGGCCGGTTAGCTCAGTGACAGTGCAGTGCTCTGATGCCAAGGTCAAGAGTTCAGATCCCCATACCGGCCGACCACCAAAAACAAAACAAAGCAAAAAACAAAAAAAAGTCTGGGTGTTTTTGGTGGAGAGGTTGGCTTTGCTATAGGAAGATGCTCATTCTCTGTCCTGTGGAGTCCCTGTGTGTCTGCAACAGGAACAAACAGTATTTACTGATGTGTGTTTAGGGCCACCCCACTTCCCCTACCCTCGATGGGAGTTTTCTCCTCGCTCATTCCATTCAGGAGCCTTTGTGGGACAGAAATTTGAATGATAGGCATGGAGATACAAACCCAAGATGGGAGGCTCAGCATTTGCTCATAGAAACACAGTTCTGTTTCTAGGAATTTATCCTTCGACTCGCTTATATACAGTCTTCGAGATGTTCTGAAAAACACAAAGGTTCAGAATGGTGGGTGTAGAATGCTACCATTTGTGTAGGAAGTCAAGTAATGCATGTGATTGGCGATGCACAGACTGTCCTTTGTCACAAGGAACTGGTAACACTGATTGCATCTGGAAGGGGAGTAAGGGCTCAGTGGAAAGAACCTTCTCGTTGTGCCATCTCTTGGTTGCTTTGGATTTTGTAAAATGTTTGTGTGTTGCCTCCACTAACAAAGAAATTAATTTGAAGATGAGAAGGGGAAGAAGGAAAGGAGGGAGGTAGTCTCAGTATGGGGGCAGGTTCGGGGTGGGGGTGGAGAGTGTATTGTGGAGAAAGATGTGGGGGCAGCTGCAGGGTGCCAGAGATGTTGGCAAGGAAAGTTGAGTGTCCTGCAAGAAAAGCCAGTACAGAGTGGAATAGTTTTGAGGCACTTGAGGCTGCAGGATTGTGTGAAGCTGGAGACTGGACCTCTTGGGGCCCTGACATCTATCCAGGTCACCCTGCCTGCACGCAAGTCAGGCTGGACAATCTCTAACAGCCTTCCAGCCAGGACCAGGACATTTCCATGTGTACTACTGGAGCCAGCTCTGGCTTCTTCTGTCTCACCTCACCCAGCCCCCTTTGAGTCTTAGACCCCAAACCCTGGGAGCATTTGGTAGGATAGATGGAGCTGGACAGTCGAGGGAAAGGTCTTGCTGGCCTGAAAGGTGGGACAGGATCTGGATATATTGTCTTTTTCCTCACCTCCCCTTTCTTCCTCCCCACTCCCCTCCGCCCTCTGGGCAATCCTGGAAGACTTCCTGGGGGAGGCCTCAATTGCCACCTGCTCAGCTCTTTTTTTTGAATCCTGTTTAATTGTGGGGTAAAGGCACAGCTGCAGGGGGAGTTTGATGGGGACAGTGGGGTGGGGGAGGAGAGGGAGTAACTGCTCCCAGGGTCCAAATTTCTTTCTACCCCTCGGTGGGCCTGCAGTCATCTGTCTGATGGCTTTTCTCTCTCCCTCTCACCCCTGCCCCCTTTTTCTCCTTATCTCTCCTCCTCTCCTTGTCTCTTTGTCTCCGTCTCTGACTTTGCCTCTATCTTTATTCATTTATTTTCCTGTTTGGTCTCTTTATCTGTCTCTTGCTCTCTCTTTGCCTGTCTCTTCTCTCTATCTCTTTATCTCTGCATCTCTCCTCGCTATCTCTCTCATTATGTCTCTATCTTGGTGCATCTCTCTGTGTCTCTGTCTCTCTCCTCCCCCTCTCTCTCCCTGCCTCCCTTCCCTATCTCTGTCTCTCTCCGCAGTCAAAAAAGCCAAGTTTGATGGTGCCCAAGGTAAGTGGCCTCTCTTCCTGCACTGTCCTGTGTTGTCTGTCTGTCTGTCTCTTGGAGTGACTGGGGTGGGGGGCCTGAGCCCGAACTCAGACTTGGGCTTTATGTCTGCAGAGCATCAGGTTGGGATGGGGGGCTGTCAGAGGGCAGACCTCCACCTGGGATCCCAGCAGTTTTCATGGGCTTCCCCAGGTCTCCCTAGAGACCCATGAGACCCATGGGGGTGGGGCTCACCCTGAGCTAATGGCCTCTCCCAGAATCTTAAGGGGCAATGTGGAGACTCTTAGATGGGGCTGCAGGTGGGAAAAGTGAGGTCCAGAGAGGCAAAAACAGTTTCTTTCTTTTTTTTTTTTTTTTTAAAAGATGACCGGTAAGGGGATCTCAACCCTTGGCTTGGTGTTGTCAGCACCACGCTCAGCCAGTGAGCAAACCGGCCATCCCTATATAGGATCCGAACCCGTGGCCTTGGTGTTATCAGCACCACACTCTACCGAGTGAGCCACAGGCAGGCCTCAAAGAGAGTTTCTTAAAGTCAACTTTATTTCTTTTTCTGCGGCCTCAGTCTTTCCACCTGAAAACCAAGTCTATTGGACGTAGTCATTTCTAAGCAACCGATGAGGCATCCCAAATTTCCACATGTCCCAGCACAGAGACCCCTCCATTGTGCTCTGAGGGTGGGTGGGTTGGGAAACGGGCAGGACTGGCCTGGGAGTAGGAGTCACAGAAGTGTATGGAGACCGTTGGGGGATCAGAGTGGGGTCATTTAGGGCTTGGGAAGGGGCATCAGGGAGTCCCTGAGCTGCAGCACTGACCCCTGCTTTCATCGCCACAGAGAAATTCAACACGTACGTGACCCTGAAGGTGCAGAATGTAAAGAGCACGACCATCGCCGTGCGGGGCAGCCAGCCCAGCTGGGAGCAGGATTTCATGTTGTGAGTCAGCTGCGTCCCGTCAGGCACGGCCTCACCCCATTGCTTAGCCCGGCACCTCCGTGGTCCCTTGGGCCAGAGGTGGACACGCGGAAGTCATCTGGGACACCCTTCCTTCCTCTGCATCTGGCCATCATCTTTGCCACCAAAGCCCATCCCGAATCCAATCACTTCCTTATATCTCTGCTGCCACCAGCCAAGTCCCCTCTTCCCGCCAGCCTCCACCCTGGCCTCCCACTGCTGTCCGCCTCCCACAATCTGTTCTCCTCCAGGCAGTCAGGGGGATATTTTTAAAACTGCAAATCACATCCTGTCACTCCCATGTTCCAAACCTGTCCATGGCTCATCGACCTCAGAATAAAACCCACATTTCTCACCATGGTTCCCCACCACATCTCTCTCCATCTTCTCCCTGCTCACCTGCCCCGCCACACCCACCTCTGCCCCAGGGCCTTTGCACTCGCTCTCCACCTCTCCCCCCACTAGCTGGCTCCTTGTCCTTCAGGTCTCAGCTTGTGTCACCTCCTCAGTGAAGCTCTCTCTGACTCTTATCCCCAAGCTGTAATTTCAGAACATCATGTCCTTCCCAGGCCTCACCACCAATTGTTATTTTAGTCATTTCTATGATTTTTTCCACATTTCTGGCTGCTACTGCCTGATTTTGAGCTCTAGGATGGTGGGGTTGGGTCAGTTTCTGTCCCCATTGTGACCACCCCCCCGCATGCCACAGGGCCCGGCACACAGTAGGTGCTCAACAAATATTTGTTGGATAACTGAATGAATCAATGACCTGGACCTGCTCATGAATCTGGAGATACCCAGGGTCTCATGCCCCCACCTACAAAACAACCTCTTGTCCCCTCTACTCTGATGATGGTCAGCAAAATGTGCCTGTGCTGTGCCCTGTTCTAAGTCTCTCTATGCTTTGATTCAGTCAACTTTGCCCACAACCCTGGGAGGAAGGTGTTATTGTAATCCCCATTTTACAGATGAGGAAACAGAGGACCAGTGAGGCAAAACCACCTACTCAGTGTCACACATCATGTACATGTCACAGTGGGGATTTAGACCCAGGCAGCCATCAATCCCCATGCTATGTGCTGAGCAGAGCCTGGCTGAGGACTGTCAGGGTGGACGTGAGAGGCCCCAGCATTGAGGATCCTGGAGCAGAGGAACACTTAGGGAAGGAAGGGGGAGGCTACAAATTCTAGGAAAGATGTGAAGAGGGAGAGACAGCATGGTCCCCAACTTGCCAAAAGCCAGTCATTGAATGACCAGGTCACAGTCGACAGATAGATTCAAGGACATTCCTTAAGATAAATCTTTAGTAAATCAGTAAATTCAGTGAATTGGTCATTCACCGAGATTTCCATCCCATCCTCTCCAATTGGCATGTTCCAGGATGTGGCCTGCAGGGAAAGCATTTAGAGTTGGGATCGTGTATATGCTCAGGGGTGTCCCCACCTGATTGGATAAGAATGACACTGGGAAGGCTGAAAGTGCCCTGAATGCCCTTATCCTGGGGGAAAAGGTAACCATGGAGCCTCTTCCTCCCTTACCCAGAGTTGTCAGGGTCTGAGAGCTCAAGGGCCCAGCAAGATGAAGGTGCAGGAGATGCGTAACATCTGTCCCCACTCCTTCCCTCCCAGCTTGGAATCCTGGTTCTTCTGTGATATTCTGAGCTAGTAAATTCCGCCTCTGGCCTCATTTTTCCCTTTGTAAAATGAGAACCACTGTGTTATCCCAGCTTGCACTTGCACAGGTCTGGACTTGAATTGCAGTATGTTGTGTGTCCTCAGGCAAATGAACTAACTTCTCTGGGTCTCCCTTCCCTCATTCCTGCTCTCTCGATACCCCTCTCCTTTTTCCACAGCGAGATTAACCGCCTGGATTTGGGGCTGACTGTGGAGGTGTGGAACAAGGGTCTCATCTGGGACACAATGGTGGGCACTGTGTGGATCCCGCTGCGGACCATCCGCCAGTCCAATGAGGTGAGTGGGCTGAGAGTGGACAAGGAGGAGTACCTGGGAGAATCCCAGATGCCACTGGCCTAAATAAGGTTGATATTTATCTGTCATTCCTTGGTGATGTCTGTATAGACATCTGGGGTTGCCATGACAGTTTTAAAGTCACTGGGGCCTAAGTCCCTTCCATCTTGTTGCTCTGTCTTTCTCCCCATGTGGTTTCAAACTCATGGCCCAAAATGGCTGCTTGGGACTCACCATTGCATCTGTATTCCAGCCAGGGTAGGGAAAGGTGGCAAGGGAGGCACTCACCCTCTCAGTTAAGGGCACAACCTGGAAGTGGCTCATGGCACTCTGCTGACATCCCCTTGGCCAGAACTTAGTCATGTAGCCCCACCTAGCTGGAATATATTACTATGGAAGAAGGAGAGGAGGGATAATGTGGGCAACTAGCATTTTGTGCCCTGGGTGGACAGCAGGGGGAAGGTTACACCAGCCCAGAGGAAGGTGCTAGACAAGAACCCCAGTCCCTCAGTGCTGGCACCATAGCCAGGGGCGGCGGTCATTCTATTAATATTTCCTCTGTTCCCACAGCCCAATCCCAGCCTTGCCTACCTGGCTTCCTGACCTTGGCCCTCTACTTGGCCCCTCTGTGTTGATCCCAGCAGGATCTTACTACCCTGAGGCTCTGTTCTGCCCTCCTCCCCCCACCCCCCGTATCCATCTCCTTTGGGAGGCCTTCAAGATGGTATCTGCACACTTGGTCAGCCTTGTCTCTGTCCACACCACAACCTCCCCTCCTCAGAGATGTTAGCCTCTGAACCTTTGCACATGCTGTTCCCTAGGCTTCAAGTGTCCTCCCTCCCATCACCCTCTAAGCCCAGCTCCAGGAAGCCCTTTCTAACTCCCCCCTTGAAGCTCTCTGAGCCCCCCTCCCTCCCTCTGTCTTAGACTTGGTCTCATGGGACTCAGGGTGCCTGTATCCAGCTCTTCCTCCTGGGACTGTGAGCTTCTTAGGGGCCTGCCTGGTGGCTGAGGCCTCTTGGGGATCTTGGCATCACCTGGTATGAACTAGGCATAGAGGAAGCCCCAGGGAGCATTTGTTTTTGAAAAAAAGAAAAAAATGAATGAATGAATGAATATATAGAGAGAACATGGGTGCAATAGTCCAGGCAAGTGAGTCCAAAAAGAAGGCTTGAGGGGGACCCAAAATTTCCTCAATAGCCACCAAAGTGTGAGGCAGGCCTGGTCACGTGGGACAGCAGAAAGCAGATTCTAAAGACCATTCACATTTGAGAGATGAAGAGACTGCAGTTCAGAGTGGACCCCACTTGCTCAAAGGCTCACATCCTTGAACCAGGGGAGATTGGCTTACTCTCTTGGAGGGTTTCCTCCCAGGATAGTGAGAGGATCAGGGCTCTCATCTGAAATCAGTTCCATAACCCTACATCAGGGGTGAGGAGTGGCCATATGAGGCTGGGACCACCCCTGACTAACCCCACAAGGCCCTCTCTTTGGGACCTTGGCTCTGGGTTCCCCAAACTCACCGTGTGGCCCTGGACTTAGACCTTCCCTTCATGAGTCTCGGTTTCCTCATCTGTAAAGTGGGGACATGACCCTTACTCTCAGAGTAGGGGTGAGATGGGGTGAGGGGGGTGTCTCATGTGACAGTAGGGAACCTACCAGTCAGCATGTAGCAGATACCTGATCCACCCCACCCTACCTGGAACCCTGACCTCTGTCACTTACCTCCCCCAACCCCCAGGAGGGCCCTGGAGAGTGGTTGACACTGGACTCCCAGGTCATCATGGCAGACAGTGAGATCTGTGGCACCAAGGACCCCACCTTCCACCGCATCCTCCTTGACACTCGCTTCGAGCTGCCCTTAGGTGAGTGCTGGGTGTGCGGAACCCTCAACCAGCCCCAACCACACTCTGGACTCACCGAGCTAGTCCAAAAGAGTGACTGGGCCTGGACAGGTCCAGCCAGCCCTTCTTTCTGAGGATGAGGTTCTGCCTTCCCAGAGGAGAGTTTCCTGGGCTGCAGTGAGTCAGCAGAGAAGGGAGCCTGCTGTGTGCAGGGCACAGCCCACCCCTGTGGGTCACCAAAGAGCAGCAAATGCTTCTCAACCCACAGAGCAAAGGGCTGAGCTGGCCTGGCTGGTCCTTGGTGAGGCCTTAGGTTGCAGGGGTGAGTTGGGGAGAGGAAGAGAGACAGAGAGAAGAAGCAAAGAGAGATAGAGAAGCAGAGACAGAGACACACAGAGAGACATAAAGTCAGAGGCAGAGAGAAACAGAGAGAGAGAGAGAGAGACATGTAGAGACAGAGGCAGAGATGCAGAGAGTCTTCTCTTCCTTTCCTGGAAGCACCTAATTTCTCTCCACATCATCTTTCTAAGAACCCGTGTCTTCCCTACCCTCCTAATGCCAGGACCTACCTCCTCTCCCATCCTCTGTCCATTCCCATGGCAGCTCAGGGGAGGAGGGGTCAGGTGTGCCACCCTTCAACTCCCCCTCCTCACCCAAGGCCTGCCTACCTCACCCCCCTTTGGCTTGGCCAAAGACTCCAGGCCAGAGCTCAGTAGACCTGCTGGATGGAGGCTGAGGGGTGGGAGGGGCTTCCAGGCTCAGAGCTGGGGCTCTGCTTCCAGACATTCCTGAGGAGGAAGCCCGCTACTGGGCCAAGAAGCTGGAGCAGCTGAATGCCATGCGGGACCAGGATGAGGTGAGCCCTGGAGTGGGGGCTGTTTGCTTCCTCATGTCTGTCTCTCTTTGTCTCCCTCTGTCTTTCACTCGCTGTCTCTGTTTCTCTCTAGCTTGTCTTTTCCTATGTCTTTGTCTTTAATTCTTTGTAACCCAACTAAATCGGTGACCCATGTGGTCCAGTCTTGAAGCAATTATGGAGCCCAGGAACACGCAGTCTACCAATGATGTACCAATTTCAATCCATTCAAGTTATGCATTTGCCAAATATCCTCAGAGAGGTCCTGGAAGTGGTCCCTACAGCCCTCTCTGCCCCACGCCCCTCAGCTTCTACAGTGACACTTTCAAATGTTCCTAAAAGTCTCCCTTTCCCACCAGCCCAGCCTCTGTGCCTCTCTTCTTGCATGCCACCCCCCTTCTTGGCTTTGTATCATTACAGTGCAAAGACCCAATGTGGTCCCAGAGGACAGTCTCCAAAAGGCTGAGGACAGGGAAGGAACAGCAGACAAGACCAGAACACTTTTAAGTGGGAGGCATGGGACAAAGGGGCCATAATCACAGGTTAATTTTCATCCAACCTCATCTTTTTCTTCTTTCTGCAGAGACCTGCCTCTCTCTCTCTCTCTCTCCCCCCCCCTCTGTTTTTTCCCCCACCGTGTCTCTTTTTCCTATCTCTGTTTCTCACTGTGTCTTGGTCTCTGTGCATGTGTTTCCCTCTTTCTCTATAAATACCTGTATCCTTCTCTTCTAGAGGGAGAGGATTGGGGACGCAAAGGGAGAGTCAGGATGGGACAGAACAGAGGGCTATCCTGGTCCCCTCACTTCTGCCCCCCTGAGATGAGCCCTCTCTCCTTTCCTCCCCCTCAGTATTCATTCCAAGATGAGCAAGACAAACCTCTTCCTGTCCCCAGCAACCAGTGTTGTAAGTACCTTTCATTACTTCCCTGGGCATCAGCTAAAACCCTCATTCCTCCTCCACCCCATGACTGTCATGTTTAATGGGTCACCCCATTCTAGAGAGACAAGTCCTAAGGGTGCCCAGTGTCTGCTTGCAGTGTAGTGGAAAGAAGCAAAGATTAGGGACTTGGGTTAGAGTCCCACCTTGCTACATGACCACAGACATGCCAGTGTCCCTCTCCAATGCTTAGGGTCCTTCTCTTTGAAATGGGGCATCTGACAGATCCCTCACTCTGAGGGCTGTTGGAAGGACCCAGAACATCTAGAAACATGAAAAGCACTTTGTAGACTTTTCAGTTTCATTCATCAGATCCTGGATGAGGGCCTATAACTCATTCAACAAACTAGTCATGGGGCCAACACAGACCAAGCAGCTCAGTCAAATGGTGCAGACAGACACCGATGGATGATCAGTCCAACACACGTACAACGGGCACCTACAGTACAGTGGATGAAAGCTGTTTCATTCACCCATTTGTTAAATGAAGAAACTGAGGCCCAAGAGGAGAAGTGACTTGTCCAAGTCACACCCCCAGCAAGTGGCTGAGTCAGGATTTGAACCCAGGTCTGAGGGACTCCAAGTCTGCTTCTCTTTCCACTGCACTGTGCCTGTTAATTATGAGAATGATCACATTCCTCTGCCTCCATCAAGGCTGGAGTTGTCAGGGTTGTTTATCTTCCTTAGCCCTGTGGACATTCAGATGCACCCAGACCAGGTCTCTGTGAGCCAAAGAAATATCTCCCTCCTTAAAGTGCCCTCTGAGTCCTCTGGAGTGGGGAGGAAGGGGCAGGTCACACAGCCCTGGGGAAGAGCCCCCACCCACCGACACCTGCCCCCTTCACTCTTCCACCTCTTTCTCCTTTTCCATCTGCTTCCTCTCCTCTTTCCCTCCCCTCTCAGTCTCCCCCATATCTGTGTCTGCCCCCGTGTGCCCAGAGGATGGTGGTGGGGCCTGGAGGAGGGGAGGGGCTGGGGGACTGCAGTTGGGGGACCCCATTCCCTCACTAACTTGTGGTGTAATATTGAGAAAGTCCCTTGACTTCCCTGACCAGGGAGGGGTTATCACACTCTGGAAGGAATTACAACCCCCCTCCCCGGTGAGTGGGGTCTTCAGAGCCAGGCAGAAGCAGAGCGGCAAAGAGCACCTGGGCAGGTGAACTAAAATGAGGTGCAGGTTGGAGTCGGGAAATGGAGACCACCGCCCAGCATTTACCTCGGAGCCCTCCCTGGGAGTGTTTTGTCCCGCGCCCATTTCACAGAGGAGGCAGCCTGGGGTCAGAGGAACCAGGATTCTGGTCCAAGGTGGTTTTCTGAGATGCCAGGCGCTAGGGGCTGTGTGACTTTGTGCTGCTCACTTTACCTCTCTGAGCCTTGTGTCTTCACCTGCAAGATAAGCAGAATGATAAAACATACCCAACAGGGGTGTCTGGAAGCTCAGCCTTTCTGGTTTAGTGCGTCTTTCCTTATCCATGAGCTGAAGGGAGGGAAGAGGTGGGAAGCCCTGACCCCAGGCAAGTCAGAAAACGCTGGGCCCAAACGCCCCATGTCACTTCCTGGCTGAATCTGTGACCTTGTTGGGAAACTGGGATATCCCGCCTTCCTCCCACGGTGGTCAGCAATGAAAGTGATACTCCCCAGGGAAGACCCTCAGGCCAGGAGGGGCTGGGGTCCTGGGGTGGGGGAGGAGATGGGGAGAGTGCGGAGAATGGGAAGCCCCCTCCCCACGCCCACCCGCTCCTCTGTCTGCTCCTTTTATTCTCTCTGCCCCTTCTCTTTGTAGGCAACTGGAATTATTTTGGCTGGGGTGAGCCACAGAGTAAGTACTCCGCTCGATGTTCTGGAAGGCCCACGGGGAGGTGGGTGCCTTGGCAACCCCAAGGCCCCCGCCCCACCGCACAGGGAAGCGGGGAGCCCATGCCTGGCACACTGGGGCCAGAGGGCTGGCAAGACCCCACCCAAGCCCTCCTGTCCCTGTCTCTTAATGCCTGTCTTGGGGGTCCTGCTCTGTCTGGTGGGGAGTGGGCACCACCACTGGGGAGGGGGTATTCAGCCAGGAGGGGGTGGGTATTTAGATCAGAGACCTGCCTGCCTCCAGCTGGGCACTGAGACCCTCCTTCCCCCCACTCCCCATGTATAACCTCATCTCCTCTCCTGTGACCCCCCCTTTTTGTCTCCCCATCTTCCTCCTCCACCTGGAAATGGGCCCAATGTCACTCAGGGTGGGGGGGGGAGGGGGTCTCTGACAGAGCAGCCCGGCAGGGACCCTTGGGGAGTTATCACTCCAGGGACCTCAGCTCCCAAAGCCCCCCCCCACACCTTCCTCCATTCCACCCCCCCAAGGAAGAAGCAAGCCACCCCCCAGATTGCATTTCCTTTTTTCTCCCTGTGGAATCACAGCTTTCCCTGCAAATGTGGCCCTTGCTAGAGAAACCCAGTCCTCTAGTCTGAGCATGGACCCACCGCCTCCTCCCTCCACCAGCTGGGGCCTCCATCTCTGCCCCGTACCCTGTGGACAAGCCCAACCCAGAACCAGGAAAACTGTTTACAAACACTTTGGCCCACAACAATTTATCAAAAGCAAGTTGGTCAGAAATCAATTTAGCCTAAATAGGCACTTGGCAGACAGGGAAACTCAGTAACAACTCATTTGCCACAAACAATACGGTCAAAAGTGCAGATATTTTTGGTTAAAAATGATGAGACTGAAGCTCATAATTGGGTCAAAAAGCAAGGACAGTTGAGCCCAGAGAAGACCATTTTGTCAAAACAAAAGTGGCCGAAAATTACTTGGCTGGAAGCAGGCAATTTGGTTAAAACTATTCGGTAACATGCAGAGTCTGGGCGAAAGCATGAGGAATCCTGTTGAAGACAATTTGCCCTTCGAAAATAGACAATCTGTTTTAAAAAACAATCATTTGGTGAACACACACAGCGTCATGCGATTTGATTGGAAACATCGCAGCCCGGTCAAGGACAATTTTGTGGAAAAAACGCTGATTTGTCAAAAGACTAAAAAAAACCCAGATAATTGGGTGGAAAATGGTCAGAGGGGCACTTTGGTGACATCAACAAGTTGTCCAGAGTTCCGTGGAGGATTGTCCAGCTTTCAGATCCCACCTCTTATAGTGTCCTAGTTTCACTCTGCTGCTAACCAGCAAATCGTGGGAATTTGAGGTTAAACTCGCCGGCACCTTTGCCTGTAGTGTCAGAGTTGACGGCATCCACGGCGTCAGGGTGGTCCTGTATCTCAGGGTCACAGTGGCCCAAGTCAAATGAGAAACAGGGAAGCCAGAGTGACTTTGATAAGGCCAACTTTTCCAGCTGAAAATGAATTTAACATTTTCCTATAACTTGGGGAACAAGTCAAAATAGCTTTATGCGTCCAAGTTAAGAAAAAAATTTTTTTTAAATTTGGACCTATTTTCTAATATGTAATAACATACATGATTAACTGAAAAAGAATTAGAAAGTTTAAATAATAAAGAACAATACACAGATGTCTGGCAAATGAGCTACAGTACATAAAAGCTGTAAAAGGTACAAACCACTCCTCGGTGCATAGAATCGTTGGTAAATTACCCCCACAGCTGTAGGTCCCACTGGCCATGCAATCAGGGTGTTAATGTTTTCTGGCAGCCTTTTGTTTTCAATCCATCACTTTCTAAATAAATGGAGTCTCTCTCGTACCATAACAGTCTAACACCCTTTGATGCCACCCCTCATAGACAGTCACAGCCCCCTCCTTTAAATGCAGCGAAAGTCCAAAGGTCCCACTTCCTGGTCTGAGATTTTGGAGTCTGGAGTTTCCTTCCCTTTTTACCACCCCTGTCTGTACTTTTCAGCTTCCTGCATTGACTGTGTCTTGCATTACTTTTGATATAAAGATAACTTTATCCTTCTTTTAAATTATAAAAGTATCATGTGCGTTATTGAAATAATTTTTTTCAGAAGGTACAGAAAGGAATACCAAAAAAAATGTACAGTTATCCCACTACCCAGACTTGTTGCTTTTAGAATGAGAATTCTTTTTAGGATTTAGAAAATAAACTTTTCTTTTTACTAAGGAAACCAAACCAAGATATCCTTCATTACTTATTAAACGCTCGAAGCTTGGCAACTCCACCCCATTCCATTTTAGCGAGTGATTCTGGGTGTGTGGTGGTCTTGCCAACTTAAGATACTGATCCTTTTTGAGGGAGACAACATGTCACAGCTTCTTTGTTCTTGCACATGTAAGTTCAGGTTAGGGGTCCCCACCCTCGGATATCAGGAAATATCTGGGGGTTAAAGGGCATTTACTCTGCCTTGTCCTCCTGATCTCCTTCCAACTTCCCCCTGAGTGTTTGTGTCACTCCTATTATGGGAAACTGCCTGACGGAAAAATTTCATCTCATTTTCGGAGAGTTGGACTTTAGCAAAGTCCATCCTCACCTTTGAGCTGAACGATGCCCTCTAATTTGTCCCCGTCTTCCTCACATTGTAGTACCTTCCCTAGGCCCTGGACTCTAGGTCCATTTGGACCCACATGAGGTAAAGCAGGGTTTTCACCTCCCTTGTTCTAAGGCCTATACCTCTATTAATATGACTCACAATCCTTCACTGATAAAAATTCCTCTTCTCGGGTTAGCAGCAGTGAAGATTCCCTAAGTCTGGGAGACTGCATTGGCCCCCATTGTGTGCTGTCTTTCCCCTGCTCACCCTCTCCCCTCATGTCCTCTGTCTTCCAGATGATGACCCCGACAGTGCAGTGGATGATCGTGACAGCGACTACCGCAGTGAGACAAGCAACAGCATCCCACCGCCCTATTACACCACATCGCAGCCCAATGCCTCAGTTCATCAGTATTCCGTCCGTCCACCACCCCTGGGTTCCCGGGAGTCCTACAGTGATTCCATGCACAGTTATGAGGAGTTCTCTGAGCCACGAGCCCTCAGGTAGCTGCTGTGGAGTGTGTGTGGGTGGGGGTGGATGTCCTGCTCTGTCTCCTGGAGTGGAGAGAGGGGTGGGAGTCTAGAGGGAGCTGGAGGTGAAGGTAAGTGGATTCAGGAGAGGAGAATCCACCCTTTCTTGTGGGCAGTAGAGCCCTTCCTTTACCCAAAAGCTCGCAAAAAAATTCTATGAGCTTCATGAAAGGGGATCTGCTTTGGCTGAAGAAAGAGGGAAGTCTGGGCCCCTGAGATATTCCCCTGAGATATGGGGGCTCCTTAGCACTATCTTTAAAAGCCACTGGTCCTGTGTACTCTCTAACTGGGTAGGGGAGGGGATGGGTGGAGGAAGAGATGAGGATTAATTGGTGGGGGGGATGAGGCACAGTGATGTTGGAAAGACTCCCAGTGAGCAGCTGGCTGGTAATCCTGGGGTGGCCCTGCCCAGCCCTTGGTGCCATGTGACCCCATGTTCCCACCTGCAGACAGAGGCATAGTGACTTGGGAGCTACCCCAGATTAATCCAGCCACCATCACTACTCCCTTGAAATAAGGCTGTCCCTAGACGTGTCTGATAGGTGGCCCCCTGACCCATGTGGGTCACACCATTGCATGGTGCTGTGAGCCTGGGAGGCTGAAGCCCACAACTGTCACCCTTCCTCGCTGGCCTGATCACCCCAGCCCTGGTTTCTAAACAGAACAATGACAAACATGGTATTAAGCAGGTTAAATTTGTAAAGCCCTTAGGGTGGTGCCTGAAAGTGCCATGTTGCAACTGTTCAGTAAACAGATAGTACAAATAATGGTATTTGGAGCTATGTGCCCAGTGCTGGTCCAGCACCTTCCCCGCATTATCGCATTTCATTCTCTGGGTCAGGAATATTATTGGTCCTATTTGACAGATGGAGAATCAAGGCACAGAGAGGTTAGGTAACTTGTCTGAGGTTACACAGCTTGTAAGTCATCACAAGAACTAGCTTTTATGGTGGACTGAGAGCCAAGCAGTGGCCTGGTATGATTTCTGGTCATGAGTCTTCTTCCAAAGTATTTGCCCTTTTAAAAGTATGTTTCCTTGGGCCGGCCCGGTGGCGCACTGGGTAGTGCGCCGCTTGGGAAGCGCGGTGGCGCTCCCGCCCGAGGGTTCGGATCCCACATACGGACCGGCTCCCGCTCACTGGCTGAGCGAGGCACGGGAGCAATGCCGAGGTTTGCAATCCTGTTGCCGGTCCCTGGTCCAGTACGGGGGCAACACTGAGGGTTGCGATCCGTTGCCGGACACGGAAAAAGACAAAAAAAAAAAAAAAAAAAAAAAAAAAAAAAAAAGTATGTTTCCTTTATTACAAAATGAGCAGGAAGGAAATTTTCAGTACTCTCTACTCCCTTGGTGTTGAATCTATACTTTTGTTCATATGACACACACACAAAAATCTCTTTAAGATGTTAGTCTCAATTCACACACACACCAGGGCCTCCTATCATTGCAAGACCCTGATATGTGGGACTTGAAAGTAAGCCCTATATCTTATGTCCAGCAGCAAGATACTCACCTTAGGTGTAAAATGTAAGGGGTGCCAAAACATTCAGTCATCGAGATAAATAATATTTTAGTGCAATATTTTAAAAGATCCAAATGAATGAAAAAAAATTATGAAGAAAAAAAATCACCAAAATGTACTCTTATACGAGTGTTTATTGTAAATAAATTATATTTTAATAATTAAAATTTTTTTAAATCCACAATGAACAAAATATCAAAATTTTAAGTAAAAATAGGTTCTGACCCTGTACTTGCAGAACTCAGACTTACCCATCTCCCCCTAATCCCAGTCCTGCTATATCTAGTCTGTGAGAAGAAATAATAACAACAGTTAATTAAGCACTTACTATGTTCCAGGAATTCTAATGAGTCCCAGCAAATGCACTTACACAATCCTATAACATGGGTCTTCACTTCCTCATCTCCCCATGGCATTGTAGATGAGGAAACTGAGGAACACAGAGAACAGGATGATACTCTTGACCAGAGAGGTTAAGTGACTTTCCCAAGTTCACACAGCCAGCAAGTGGCTGAGCCAGAATTTGAATCCTATCAAGCAGGCTTCAGAGTTCACATCTACAGCCACTGCCCCAAAAAAGGCATCTGTCAATCCACAAAGTTAGTCTCCCAAGGTCCTATAGGTGGACAAAGGTGATGTTCTCCCTGCATCCTGCAGCAGGGACATTGGCCAAGGGGATTGCCCTGTTCTCTATGCTCCCAGCAGCATCTCCAGTAGTGGGTCCCTCAGAACCACCTGATGTTACTCCAGGTCCAAAACCTCAGGGGCAACACCTAGTTATTAAACAAAGCCGCTCAGGCTCCTGAACTTCAGACCTTCTCTGAGCCTTGATGAGAAGATTATAAAAACAAGTATTTGCATCATGGCTGAGATTTGCAAAAACCCTCCAGAATCATTTTATTTCTAGTGCAGTGAGAAAATAAATTATAAATGGTTCATCTTTTTATCATGGAGGTAAGCTGAGCTTTCAGAGTTGTGATGTTCAACACGGTAGCTGCCTGGGGCTTTTTTTAAATTTACATTTAAATTTATTAAAACTAAATAAATAAAATTCCAGTCCCTATGTCATTCTAGACACCTTTCGAGTGTGCAAGAGCCATGTATGGCTAGTGGCTCTTGTGTTGGAACAGTGCAGATAGAAAACTTATTCATCTTTGTAGAAAGTTCTACCGTTCAGCACTGTAGAGGGTTTAGGGTAAAACATAACTTGAAGAAAACCTTCCTTCATAAGCTTCCAATGTAGACTTTAGCATCAAGGCATTTTAAATTATTTTTGCAAGTTATTGAACAATTTTATTTGGAATTTTTCTATATTTTGTATATACCATACAAAACATGTATACTTTGTAGATGGAACATTTTAGAAAGAACTTTTTAAAAAATTGAGCATCTAGTCTAGCGTCTTTGTTTTTCAGGTCCAAAGAAATGAAGTGACATACTCAAGGTAAAACACTTGGTGGCAGAAGTGGGAGAAGAATCAAACTTAATTGGATTCACTCTAGTGTTCTTCTCATAGATCCTGTGTGCTTGAGCCATCTTGTGCTCTTAAGTGGAAAACAGAACTAGATCTCTTTTCATTTGTATTTGTGATTTCCTTATTCAAACTCTCTTCAGAGGCACTTCTGTCTTCCTGACAGCTTCCCCTACCATTTCTGCAACCAATACAATCTTTAAAGCATCATTCATTTTCACACTAACACTGGCTCAGACTTAAGCAATTGTTGGAACAAAGTTCCAATGCACTGGAAACAGATGAAAGGAAAGTAAGATGTTAAATATTAATAAAATACTAACTCTTTGAGAAGAAGGATGTCTTCTCTTGGAGAAGAAGACCAAGACAGTGGTAGACCATAGCATCATCTGTAGAAGGGCTGAGAAGTGTGTTTGTGTGGGAACGTTCTACTTAGAGAGGAAACCGATTCTCTGAGACTTTTCTTCCATGGGGGGCTGCACAGTGCTCCCCACCATTTCTGTGGATGTTTGCAAGGCTGGGAAGCACAGGGTGGTTGGTACTTATCTTGCAGATGGGGAAATTGAGGCTCACAGGGTAGAAGCACATTGCCTGAGTCTCAGAGTTAGGTGTACACCAAGCTGGTCTCCAATTGGGCTCCAACCAGTGTGATGGACACAGCGTTGGCTTCCTGTCTTGTATGTGTGGCCACTTACCATCCTTTTCTGACTCAGTTGTGTCTGTCTGTCCCTGGTGGAGTCTGTCTATTGTGAGAATTCCTGGAGGGGAAGGGGGGTGGGAAGGAGGGGGTCCCCCACCCAATCTCAGGCCACAGACAAGCCACACATGAGTGAAGGAAGTTTTCCAGAAGGGGAAAGGGATGCAGAGGAAAAACCACCTGAGTTCCCCTGAGAGTGACTCAAGCCACCCTCCCAGCCACATAGGCCATGCTGCCTGGTGCTGGTCGATGCTGGGCTCTGAGAGAAGCGGGGAGACGGGGCTGGATGCAGACATTCCCATCTTTCAGGTCAGGGTTTGGCTGGAGGGCATGACAGGGCTGGACATCCTAGTGGTGGAAGAGGGCAGGGAGGGCTTCCTGGATGAGGGTGCATGGGACCCCACCCTTGAAGGATAAATGAGGCATCTGAGGGGGGGAAGACAATTGCAGGCACAGGACATAGATTGGCTAAAGGCTGGAGTGGTGGACAGGGCCATATCATACAGAAGGCACTTGGGTGGCTAGCTCAAGGGCATGGGAGCCAGGGAAGGTCTCTGAGTGGGTTCAGTGCTGTATTGAGACCCCAAATTGGTCAAAGTCAGGATGGGGGGGTCTTGGTAGCCACCAAGTCCAAAGCCAGGCCTGGGGAAGTTTATGTTGTTCCTGAGGTTGCAGGTGGGCATGTCCAGGCCTGTTTCGGGGTCCCAGCTCTAGACTGCCCCCCTCATCTGGGAGCCCAGAATATGCTGGACCTTAGGAGTATTCACCAGAAGAAGGTACTCTGAGTCCTTTATAGCCAAGTGATATCTGTAGCTCTCCCACATCCTGTCTCCTGCAGTCTACAAGGACCAGCACTAAAAAGCAACTAACAGGGCTGGCCTGTGATTCATTTGGGAGAGTGTGGTGCTGATAACACCAGGGCCACAGGTTCAGATCCCTATATAGGGATGGCCGGTTAGCTCACTTGGGAGAGTGTGGTACTGACAACACCAAGTCAAGGGTTAAGATCCCCTTAGTGGTCATCTTTTTAAAAAAGGAACTAACTAAACACATAAACTAGCAAACAAGGGCTAGAGGGAGACACCCCCATTTTGGTTCCTACAGCATCTCGTTGGTGGCTAGTGATGGGAGTCCCAGGCACTGAGAGTGGAGGTGATATTTAGAACAGGGAATGATAACATTTGTTGAGTGACAGAATAGATGGTTAGAAAAGGGCCATACATCATCCTGCCTGCCCTTGGGCAGAGACAGATATTTCTTCCTGGTCATGTTGAGCACCATCCGGGGTGCACATAAGGAGCATTTAACGGTGGTCCTGACCTGGCCAGAGGGTGGGGACACTCACCCTAGGAAGTGGGTTCCAAAGGATGAGTAGGAGTTTGCCAGATAAAGCAGGCAAGGAAGGGTGTTCCTGGCAGACAGCACGGCAAGTGCAAAGGCCCAGAGGTGGACACAAGTTTAGGGTGTTGGACGAACAGTGAGGAGGCTGACGTGGCCAGAGTGGAGGGATTGAAGGGGGCAAGGAAGGAGACGGGGGGAGGTTGGAGGCTGTGGGCCACATGGGGCTGTGGGTCTAGCATGGGTTTTATATCAAGGCACTAGGGAGCCATGGTAGGATTTGGAGCAGGGGAGGAATATGATTGCATTTATGGTTCTCGGAAAGCCCTCCTGTGGCTTCCAAGGGAAGCAGGGACTGTTGGCGATGGGAGTGGATGCTGGGGCAGCATACAAGCAGAGACAGCTGAGGCTGGACCAGGGTGGAGCCAGGGCTCAGGGAAGAGGATGTGTTTCCCAACATTCCCAAGGTGGAGGTGAGGGGACCCACTGCAGGATCAGTGTGGATGGAGGCTGAGGCAAGCAGCAGAGGCAGGGAGGCCCCAGTCCCCAGTGAGTGGAGGAATCCAGCGATGGGAGGACTGCGGGAGACCCAGGTTGAGGTGGCCACGTTCAAGATTTGGGAGCACTACGTGTCCAAGGGGTCTGTGGTGAGGACGCTGATCCAGGGTCCCCAGTGCAGTGTATTGCCTGTCCCCAACCCCCACAAACACACATTTTAAATGCCACAAGAGCAGGGACTTTCATCTCTTTTGCTCATGGCTGTGTTTTCTGGCACCTAGAGCATAGCCTGGCACACAGCAGGTGCTCAATCAATGCTGAGTGAATGCCTTGGTGATGGCACCTGTGCGACTGGGGCTCAGGCGGGCAGTGGCTCGGTGCCCCAGCCCCTGGGCCCCGGCCTGTCCCCGCAGCCCCACAGGCAGCAGCCACTATGCCTCTTCTGGGGAACTGAGTCAGGGCAGCTCGCAGCTGAGCGAGGACTTCGACCCGGACGAGCAGAGCCTGCAGGGCTCTGAGATGGAGGACGAGCGGGACCGCGACTCTTATCACTCGTGCCACAGTTCTGTCAGCTACCACAAAGACTCGCCACGCTGGGACCAGGATGAGGAAGATCTGGACGAGGAGCTGGACGAGGAGCTGGATGAGGACCTGGAGGACTTCCTGGAGGAAGAGGAGCTGCCCGAGGATGAAGAGGAGTTGGAGGAGGAGGAGGAGGTGCCTGATGATCTGGGCAGCTATGCCCAGCATGAAGAGGCAGCCGTGGCTGAGCCCAAAGACTTCAAGCGTGTCAGCATCCCACCAGCTGCTCCTGGGAAGGAAGACAAGGCCCTGGTGGTGCCTGCTGAAGCCCCTGACATGGCCAAGGTGTCCTCCAGGCAGTCCACACCTGAAGAGGTGCCTGTAGCTGATCGGGTGTCTGAGCCTGAGCCCCCCAAGGCAGAGGAGAGGTAAGAGGAGGGGACTGAGGGGTCAGAGGGGCTGTCATAGGTCATGGGATTGGTGGGGCCATGATGGGGTCAGCATGGACCTGGGCAGCTGCCAGGGCTGGAGTTGTCACAGGGCCACGGGTTTATTAAAGGGATCGGAGGTGTCAGGGTGGATTGGGGAGGTCAAAGGGGGCTCAGTGGGGTTTTAGGGGTTGGGACCTTAGCGGCTGCTGGGGTTGGAGAGGTCACAGGAGCTTCGGAAGGATCCTGAGCAAATAGGATTGAAAAGGTCATGGGGGCTGGGAGTGCCAAAAAGGAAAACAGGGGAACACGAAGGTGTCAGAAAAGTGATGGATATATGTGGGAAGAGTGAATGGACACTGAGTCCGGTCAAAGGAGGCACAGGGGTGTTGTACTATCTCTGAGGCGCCAGAGGCCATGGAGGGCAGAGGGTGGAGGGAAGGTCAGGGGTCATGGAGAGCCAGCCCTGCAGCTCCACAACTTTCCCTGCCTCAGTTTCAGGCCACGAGAGGATGAGGAAGGTCAGGACTCAATGTCCAGAGCCAAGGCCAACTGGCTACGAGCCTTCAACAAGGTGCGGTTGCAGCTGCAGGAGGTGAGTGAGGGGTGGCCACACCCACACCAGAAGGCCACGCCCAACGTCCCGCCCACACCAGGTTGGCCACGCCAAACCCTCACCCCCCCACACCACCCAGCTTGGCCACATCCACTCCCCACACCCTGCCCATACCCCACCCTCTCTGGCCCTTCCCTGGCCCCACCCACACTTAGCCCGACCACACCTCAATACCTGAGCACACCTACATCCAGCCTGGCTGCACCCAAAGTCTTGCCTATTTCCCACTCTCACTGACACTTTCCCTGGCCACGCCCATGCCCATCCCACACCTTCCCCATGCTCCTTCCACACCCTGGCTGGCCATATCCGCACCCCACCTCTACCCAACTTGATCATGCCTATATCCTGCCCATAGCCCCATGCACTTTGGCCCTGCCCTCACCCAGCCCATGGACAGCCTGGTCATGTCCGTTTTTCCACCCCCACCCTGCCCTGCCTCTGCCTCCCCACAGCCAGGTTCTTCCGTGGCTCCACCCACCCCTGCACTGGCCCCTTGCCTGGCCCTCCTGTGATGTTGCAGATAGGGGATATGAGGTTGGGGAGGGCAGGTTGAACAGACACAGTACCATATTCTTGGCCAAACTCCTGCCTAATCAGACCCCTCCCTGGCCCACCTACACTTTGGCCCCACTAAGCCTCCAGCCTCCTTCATTTCAGCCTGGGCTTTCTGAAGGATTTCTGATGGAAGATTGGAGAGCAGGAGCCTGGGGCAAAATAAGGCTGAGGGCTCCAATCACTTCAGGGTTCGATTCATGGTTAGGGACAGAGATTAGGGTTAGAATTGGTGGTAGTGCTGGGGCCAAATTGAAAGTCACCATCAGGGTTGGGGAGAGGTCTGA